TAGTAGAAGGGCTGATTTGCCAGTGTTTCTTGTACAGGGGCTGAATTGCCACAACATTGCAGGTACAGGGGCTGAATTGCACCTTCTGCCTTTCCCTAATGGCAAAATTTCCTATTTAAATATAAATATTATTAGAATTTTTGAAAGTGTTTATGAAATAATAGCATGGCCTAAAAGTAATATGAGATAAAAAAATAAAAATATTATTCTTGTTTTAAACTAATAATTATTTTTTAATTTTTTTCTTTAAATTTATTAAGATTTAAGAATAATAATTGTATTTATCTATAATACCTTTAAAAAAATAAAAAACAAAAAAGTTTTTTTGTGAGTGAGTAATTAATTAAAGTGAATAAATTATAATAGGATTAAAATAGAAAAAAATATTCATCTATTTTTTAAATAAAAAATTAATAATTAATTTAAAATAAATTTAAAGTAAAAAATAAGTATTATTTTAAAAAAAAAATTTATTTAGTTTGTATATTGAGTATTGATCAAATTTAATTTTAATTCGTCAATCAATTTTAAGTAAAAAAATTTTAAAATATCTCAATATAGATAGAACTCATACTTTGAGCTTATCATTGGTAGTTTGATCTTTACGCAAAAAGGGAATGCACAAGTAATGGATAGATGATATACTTTTCTCATATATTCTTATGGTGATGAATTCTTATTTAGTGGATGATTAATTTTTAGAAGTTTTATCACTCTTCCACCTTTTATTTAGTCCATGATTAATTTTCATAAGTCTTATCATTCTTTTTGTTTATGTATATGGTTTGTAACTTTGTATGAACAAAGACATAGAAGAAAGAGAAGAATAGAAATCTTTTATTGTTTCGCTGTTTTACTTTATCCCTCTTTTAAATTTTTTTCTATTTGTTTCTTTCTTCATTTTAGGATTGTATTAGATATATTAAACAATTACATCAGCCATTAGTATTTTTTCTCTTAATTTTTAATATATTTAATTTGATTTTTAACTTAATTTTTTAAATATAAAATTTGAAAAAAAATTTAACAACTCATATAAATAAAAATTAAAAAAAAAATTTCTTTCTGATATAAAGTTTGTACTTAATACTTTTATTTGATAAAAAATTTCAATCATCATTTATATAATATGTTAAATTTTTATTTAAAATTTATATTTGAAAAATCAAAATATCAAAGTAAATTTATTAAAAATAAATAAAGAAACTAATAAAATAATAATTACACATGTAAAACTGAATTTTCTTAAAAAAGGTATTTTACATTTTAAATTACACAAAATTTATTATTAAATAGAAAAAAAAAATTTTCCCTTATTTTGTAGCTCAACACAATATGAATGGTAAAACAAGTGCGTAAAAATTGTTTATGTTGATTCAACTCAAGGTTTACATTTAAACTAAAATTAATTGGCAATAAATGAAGTGACCTTCTTTATATTTAATCATTTTTACACTCAATGTAACATTTTTTCACTTAACAAAGTGATTCAATCTTTACAATATATATATATATATATATGTATATATATATGTATATATACTTTGGCCTTTCGATCCCCCTTCGATCCCCACAACTCCATAACTCCATCCATACCATTGTCTCCCTACGGAAAGGCTCTGCTTTATTATCGCTTTCTGCCATTTCAGTTCCTCTGTAATGGCAACCAAAAAACGTCCCAAGTAACTTTTGACTAGCCTTCGGAGTTCTTGACTATTAACATGGAAAATACGTTTCAATCGCCCTGCTAGCTGCTAGTTTGCGCCTATGGCTTCTCAAGATGCAGAACAAAGGGAAGGTTCCCTTACCCCCAGGGCCCGAGGCCTTCCTCTCCTTGGTTACCTCCCTTTTCTGGGTCCTAACCTCCACCACATGTTCAAAGAATTAGCCCGAATTTATGGTTCGACCTACAAGCTCTCAATTGGAAGAAAAATTTATGTCGTGATAAGCTCTCCATCCTTGGTGAAGGAGATGGTGCGTGACCAGGACACATCGTTTGCCAACCGGAATCCAACAATCGCAGGCACGGTTTTCTCCTCTGGGGCAAAAGTTATTGCTTGTGCAGCCTATGGCCCCTAGTTGCGCATGATGCGCAGAATCTTCGTCCGTGAGATGCTATGCAGTGAAAATCTGGATGCTTTTTACTCTAACCGGAGGAACGAGATGAAGAAGATTATCAGTTATGTCTATGGAAAGATTGGCAAAAAAGCTAACATCGGAGAGTTGGCGTTTACAAAGGTGATCAACATGGTATCCAGCATGTTTTGGGGTGGAACGTTTGAAGAAGAGAAAGGAAGACACGTGAATGCATAGTTTTTGGAGGCGGTGGCGCAACTCACTGATGTATTGGGGAAGCCAAACATTTCAGACTTCTTTCCAAATCTCGAAATGCTTTGATATACAAGGAGTGGCAGAGGAGAGGAGGAAGGTCACTGGACGATTGGAGAAGCTTTTCGAATATGTGATAAGTGAACGGACAAGGAGGAGCAAGGAATAACAGAACAAGCTTTTGTGACTGGAAAAACCACTGATTTTATTCATAATACGGAACCATGTATATACAAGAGTTTGTAGTTACACAAGGAAACTAAAGATATATACAATAATGGACTATATACGATTTAAATGTGTGACTGATATGCTGCTATAATACTGAATATATAGTTGCCAAGATGAGTCTTGTTACCGTGATTCATGAGCCGTGGTTCCTGGAATTGATGACAGGATTTGTTTCCATAATAAGGAAGAGGTGGATGTGAAATAGAAAAGAAACAACGGAGGAACTTCTTGCAATTCCTTTTAGAGCTCACAGACAAGGAAACTGGAAGATCATTATCCCAGCAGCAGATAAAATCCCTCTTCATGGTAAAGCTACTCAAATTCTCCTGTTCAATTTTTCCCACGGAAGAGAACTATCATTTCTTGTTGAGCACAGGACATTTGCACTGGTGGGACTCACACAGTAACAACCAGGTCGCATATTACTGGTGATTGTCTATAATGCATGTAGAACACTGAGATTATCATATCATATTCAAATAGAACCATCAAGAGGAAGAAGATGGCTTGCAATCAGGTAGGTCTGTTTCAAAGGCAGGGGCAGTACGAAGAATCGGATTGCTGTCAAAGAAATTGATGGGCTTTAGAGCAAAGCTTGAAGACACGGTTGGCATTACAGGAAAATCCTCCTGGCATGGAATGTGATGGAATCCAAGGGTGTACCATAACACAATATCGCTGTTTTCAATGGGCCGATTCCTGTTTATCAGGGAAAAGACAAAAAAATAGCTTTAAGCTATATGCATCCAACAGTTTAAACCTTGCCAAAAAGGAAGATACAATTTTCAGTTATATACCTCTCAGACCAAACTGCAAGTGTGTCATCTCCCTTGCTTTGGCACACCAAAAGGCCACCAGCCCATTGTTCACTTTTATTATACAGGGTAACCCATATCTATTAGACAAGTAGCTAGCAAATTAGCAGAAATTTTAGAACTACCAAAACAAAATTGCCAGTTAAATTGTTAACGTCACAGAATGTTAAAAGTATTTATCAAGAGAAAGTATGTGCCTGATTATTTGTGAATGAGCTTCTTAGCTGAGGAGGATCATCATGATTAAGCAAGCTAGCTGCATTCCCCCCAGGAACAACCTTGTATCCAGCTGGATTTCCAAGCCTAGACCTCCTTGAAGGATTAATTATGTGGAACTCCGAGGGATCATAGAGCTTAAGCTTGATTTGAGCATCTTTTTCGGTTTGGGCTACTTGTCGCTTAGCTTTCAAGTAGCTCTTCCTAGGAGATTCACCTGGCAAACTATCTTCCTTCTCAAGATTAACTTTAATAAAGGAATTATTAGCACCATCAACATCCAGGTCTAGGTGAAATGTAATGAAGTGATCATGAACTACACCAATTACATTTTCAGAAACTAGGGAACCAGACAGATCATCTTGGTTTGGCACCTGATTTATATTCTCAAGAGGACTTCCTTTTACCATTAGCATTCCTGAGAGTCCTACCTGTTATGAATATTAGTGTTTAGATTTCTAATTCTGTCCTTTTTGTGAGAAGAGCAATGTCAAAACAGCTCAATTTACTAACTAATAAAAATACAATCTCAATCTGTTCTTACAGAAAGTTACCTTAATTTGAATCAAACCATCTGTCTGAAACTCCCAATCAAAAATATAATCATAGTTTCCTAGTGATGATGACATCCGAGCAACAAGGGTCACCTTTGGTCTTGCTTCACGAATCTGTTTCAAATATGGATACAAAATTAACACTTCAATTATTCCTTGTTTGAAGATTATCTCTTCGAAAATGCCCCTTGTGGGTAGGACATGATAAAACTTACCTCTAAGCCGTGAATTAAGCTCTCTGAATGCCGCCAACCAATATCTCCAGCGTATCGCTCAAACAGGCATATTATATTTGGCTGAACGAACGGCTTTCCATCGGATGCCACAAAGATTCCGTCCATGTAGTGTGAGTTCCTTGGACAGTCATTTAAAGGTACAAGTGACATTGCCACTGCTCCTAACCCAAACTCACCAGCATCCATATAAGTTTTAAAGTACCAAGCTTCATCAAGGTCCATATAAGGCACGAATAATTCTGAAGAAAAGCCTTTATACATCACGCTCCTGAGCTGACCAGTCTCCGAATCTCGCACCATGGCTCGTGAAATCACCAACCCTGCTCGTTGATCAGCCTTGAGGTGGAACATCCAGTTAGCCCACTTCACTATATGCCCATCTTCAACTTTAAAGCTTGGACCTTTAGGTTGCTCGATGGAAATTGGGTTCAGTGGTTCCATGCCTACCGGCTTCTCTTGGGCATTATATCGATAGTCTGTGTTGTTACTTCGTGGGACAGGGATACCTCGGCCGGTATCGGAAATTTTGACCACTTCCTTCTTGTCAAGGTCCACCGTCACGGTCAGCCCCTCAATCGGCCTCATGTAGAAGTTGGGCGTGCTTTCGGCTGAGTAGCACTGGACCTTTATAATCCTCCTACCTTCTTCATCCGGCCCGTACCAGCCCGCCGAGGGCGTGATGCATGCTAAGTCCGATGGCGAAATTCCCCGTTTGCTAATTGATTCATTAAATTTTGCATTGGAGAATGGCGCTCGTGATGCAGCCAAGATATCATCCCTGGAGAGAATTGGATAACCGGAAGTTGGATTGACAACATGGCTATCGACGTGACCGGAACCCAAATCCACAGTGAGCACATGGGATTGGCCATTCAATAGCGCGAGAACGGCTGCTTTCCTCGGTGGAAGTGGGTCGCCGCCTTTCCAACCCAAAACCAGAGGCTTCTCTGGTTCGTCAAGTAATACAGACTGAATAGTCGGAAAGGTCGATGAAAACGGTTCGTAGGACGTGAGGATGGTGCGGACCCTGTTGATTTCCTGTACAGTAAGTGGGTCTAGTGGGTGGTGAGGGATCTGGGTCGAGTGGTCCGTGGACTTGTGGACTTGGGTCTGTAATCCTAAGCCTGACTTGGAATAGATATGGTTCTTGGAGGTGCACCAGGGCGTGTCCCCGGGGCATCCAACTCGTTCAGGCTTGCCCAGAGGAAGCCATGAACGTGCTAAAAAGAGTAAAATTAAGCAGAAAACACAACAGAAATGAACCCACGAAGTTCTCCCCATAACTTCTCTTCCAAAGGAGCGAGGAAAATGTAGGGGAGTCGTTTCCAGTTCAGAACTCAAACGCATCCAAATTATTGTCCTTTATGTGTTAAAAGATCAAGCAGTAATACGTAGCTTTCATTTTGGAGGGGACCAAATTCCAGCCTGCCTATTCGACGTACGACAAGGTCGAACTCTCTTTCTTTTCTTTGAATTTTCTTGGCCATGAAACGTGATGTGATAAATTACTCTTATCACTAACTTGACCAAATCATGTAATTAAGTCTTTGAATTATGATTGGAATTATATTAGCTTCTAAACTTTTTTTTGGAAATTGCAGGCTCATGAAAGGTAATAGGTTTATAATTGGGCCAAATCATATAAATAAGCCCTTTAAACTTATTAATTGATGTTATATTATTTTTTTTTAACTTAAATTAAACACAATTAACACCTTAAACTCTAAGAGTTTTGACAAATGTAACTATTATTAAACATGCAACGCCATCAAGTCATCTAAAACTAATGGTGAGGAGCTTTGACCCACGAGGTAACATTTGCAACAACAGGATTAAGAAGAGGATTCACATAATTGAGTTGAAGCCCAACATTAAGTTCCTATTTTTGCTCCCAAAATAGCACCATATTTATTATAATAGTTCTCCTTTTTGTTTTAAACGTCGGATGTAAGATTCAAATTTTATACTTCTAAATCATAATATGAAAAATTTTTTTTGTAAAGACAAAGTAACCACTAAACGCACTCGGGCCTAGAGGTTCACTGGTATTAACCAGCTTGCTAGGTGCATTCTCCCATCCCCTGAGCGGGTTTCAAACCCGTCCCGTGTCAAAATGTTCAAAAAAAAGTAACCACTAAACCATAAAAACATTTATGTACAGTAATTCTCTCAAC